ACATTTGTCTTTCAACACATAACACACACACGTTTATGTTTGGCCCTTTATGTAATTCATACTAGAATGAGACCTTTGAGTCTATAATAATAAAAAAAAGAACTTTATGTAATTCATACTAGAATAGGACCTTTGAGTCTAAAATAAAAAAATAATAATAATTAAGCAATTCATAAGATCACTATTTAAAATTTATTAGTGTTACACGAGATTTTTTATTAATTTTAAATTTTTAACAATGAATCTTCCTAACATGCACTTCTTGACGAAAAGAAAAATTTTAAAATAAATAAATAAATAAAAATAATTTTTTTAAATATATATATATATATATATGTAAACACGTGCTTTTGTGAATAATTTTTAAAAATTTAGGCCAAGTTTGGGAAGTTGCAAAAAAATCAAAAAGCTAAAAAGTTACTCAAAAAGTTAAAAAGTTATCACTATTCATCAAAAGTCAAAAATTACGGCTGCATAACCCTCAATCCTAATTTTCCCCTACGCACTAATTTATATAATTTTTTAATACACATTTTTTCATAAAAAGTCAAAAAGTTAACCCAAACAATCATATTTTTTTCTCAACTTTTTAGTCCAAAAAGACAAAAAGTGCACTTATTTAGGACACCCCAAACAACCCCTTAATCATGGATCTTTCTACCATGCACTTGTCGTCAAGAATAAAAGATTAAAAAATTTTAAAAACAAAAGGGATATTTTATTAATTTTAATATATTTTATCTTTTAACATTTTAAAAATAATTTTCACTTTAATTTCGATACTAAACAATACTGGATATTATATCAGGTAGCATTTTTCTTTTATTATTTTTAGTTTTAAAATATGTATTAGTATCTGTTGGCTTTTTGCCTTTCGAATGTTATTTTTGTAATTGTGAGCGTGCCAGAAAGAATCAATCAGTCCTTACAGAATGTTAATTGCTAACCAATTATCAGACGATTATGTTTTAGTTCTCTCAGCCTCAATGAAGAGGACTTTTACTGGTGGTTTTGTTTAGGAAAATTAAGTAAACAATAATTAAACGAAGAACAATTATAGCATTTTATTAAGTAAAATGAAAGACTTACAAAGATCCAAATCAGCCTCGTGGAGGTTTACAGCAACAAACTATTTGAAACTACTCCTATGAACAAAATGCAGTGTAGGAATTTGAAGTACAAAAATGTAAAGAACAAGAAATGTAAAAACTAGAAAGGAAATAAAGTAAATAAAACTGGTTTTTGAGTCTGAGTCTGAGTCTGAGGGCCACTTTCTGGAGCCTTCTCTACTATTTATATTTCTCAATGACAACCGTCGAACTGCATTTCTAACCGTCGAACCATCCTTCTATGATTGTTGATCATATTGCCTTATAGTTAGCTCCACTATGCCATATCTGCAGTTAGGTTTCCCTCTCGATTTTGAATTTAAATATGAATAACCGTTGAAGCCACGTCATCTTGCATCTCTTTACTGATCTAGTGCTACGCAGATCTAGAAAAACTAATACTAACTGCCACGTGTATGATTATGACTGAAGACTTGAATTGCTTTCCCGCATTGTCATCATCATGCCACGTGTTAAATTGTGATTGACTTGTACAAAATATGTAGCCAACATTACCCCCCTCACTAATATACCCAATACTTGGTGATATTAGTGGATCAAGGTATTTTATCCACGTCTTGCATGGGCTTTGCATTTTCCAGAAATGCAACCGTCATTCATCATTTGCATTAAATTCTCCTCTAATCCTTTGAACATCCCCACTTATTCCGGTATTCAAAAAGACTGATACATCTTTTATGGCTAAGCCAATCTTCTCTTACATTGATCAAGGTATGAAGCATTACTAGAAGAAGAACAAGATTGAAGTAATGCATCATACAAGACGTATTATAGAGATCATAATTATGAGATTGATGCAGCAGAGATTGTACGGAAGGGAAAAAACTTGTGATCTGTGAAGCATTAATTCATAAAGACACAACAATAGACCAGCAGTTTAACAAGAAAGACCTTCATCGGAAATACTTTTTCGATTTAACAAGGGCAGATGACATTTTTTATCATTTGCTTGCTGCAAATTTCTTGAAATTACCAAAAGGAGTCAAAATTCCATCTCCAGAGGAACTTAAAGGAAAGGTGTATTGTAAATGGCATAATTCTTGGTCTTACTCAACTAAAAACTGCATTGTTTTTCGAGACAAGATCCAAGAGCAGATTTGAAAGGGGAGCCTAAAATTCCCAGCTAAAGCAGAAAAGGCCATGGGGATTGACACTAATCCATTCCCAAGACAATGAAGAAGGCAAAGAGCAAGCAGTTTATTACCTAAGTAGGTTTCTAAATTCTTGTGAATGTAAATATTCAGCTGTAGAAAAGCTGTGCCTTGCATTGTATTTTGCTGCAATGAAATTATCATACTATCTTCTGCCTACAACTATCTTGGTAATTGCAACCACTGATTTGGTTAAATATATGTTACTTAGACCTATGTTGAGAGGGAGAATTAGAAAATGGGTATTAGCTTTATCAGAATTTCATCTAAAATATGTTCCCTAAAAGGAAGTCAAATGACAAGTTTTAGCTAACTTCTTGGCAAACCATCCATATCAAACAGAAAGCCAAGAAATAATGGAACTTGGTATGGTTAGTGTTGAACCATGGCAAATGTGGTTCAATTGATCAAAGGCCAATGGTCTAACTAGAATTGGCGTGGTGATTAAGTCACCACTAGGGGTAGAAACCACACATGATTTCAGAGTGGATGAAATTATTTGTTCCAATAATCAAGTTGAATATGAAGCTTTAATAGTGGGACTCGAAATACTTATTGGATTACAAGCTCATGCAGTTGATATATTTGGAGACTTCCAATTGGTAGTTAACTAGGTGAAAGGAATTTTCAAATGTCAAAGCATAAGCATGTTGTCATATTATGTTGTTGGATTACATCTGCTTTCTCAGTTTCAGAAAGCAAATGTAACTCATGTCCCAAGATTCTTGAATAATAAAGCTAATGATGTGGCCCAAAAGGCTTCGAATTTCAAGAGAAGGAATAATACTCAAAGGAACATAGGCCAAACAACATATCAAAAGGTAATACTACATTTGAATAGGAGGAATATGGTTTTATAAGTCAATCATAATGACTTACAAGAATAAGATTGGAGACATCTAATAATGCAGTATCTAACTGGCCCATCTTCAAAAGCCAGCAGAAAAATCAAATTGCAATCCATGCAATACATAATGTACGGAAATGTTCTCTACAAAAGGGGGGGCAAATGGGTTATTATTGGAATGTTTAGGTCCAAAGGAAGCCTCGACAGCCATGGCTGAAGTTCATGAAGGAATTTGTAGTGCACATCAGCCTGGTGTGAAGATGAGATGGCTGCTTCGAAGACATTCTTACTATTGGCCAACCATTCTTAAGGACTGCATAGAATATGCTAGAGGTTGCCAGGCATGCCAAAAGCATGGCACAATAAGGCATGTACCCATAACTGATCTGCATGCGGTTGTAAAGCATTGGCCATTCAGAGGATGGGCTATGAACATGATAGGAAAAATACACCCACCCTCTTCGAAGCATCATTGCTTCATCTTAGTGGCCACAGATTACTTCACTAAGTGGGTTGAAGCTAAGCCATATAAGGCTGTAGATCAAACTGAAATAATTGGATTCATTAAAGACTTGATCCCCAAATTTGACATCCCACAGACTATAACTGTTGATAATGGGACTGTGTTTGATGGGAAAATGGTTAAGTCTTTTGTGGCAGAGTTTGGAATTAGTCTCATTAATTCTACCCCCTATTATGCACAAGCCAATGGTCAAGCTGAATCATCCAATAAGTCTTTGAAAAAAGGAATTCAGAAAGTTGTGGAAGATAATCCCAAGGATTGGCATAACTTGCAGTTGGATGTATTGTGGGCTTATAGGACTTCTGCAAGATCAAGTACAGGAATCACTCCTTATGCTTTAGTATATGGACATGATGCAATGCTACCTATGGAAATTAATGTTAAGTCCTTGAGGGTGAGATGCCAGGATTAGTTAGATCTTGAGCAATACCATCAAAGTATGTGCTTAGAATTAGAAAGTATAGATGAAGTTAGAATTCTGGCATTAAATAGCATTCTTTTCCAAAAGAGGAAAGCAGCCAAAAACTATAATAAGAAAGTCAAGCACATTAGTTTTGATGAAGGTGATTTGGTATGGAAGACAATACTCCCAATAGAGATTAAAAGCCACAAGTTTGGCAAGTGGTAACCTAACTGGGAAGAATCGTATCAAGTTCATAGAGTCTGGCCTATGGGAGCATATCATTTGAAAATTTTGAATGGATATGTACATCCCAAGAACATTAATGACAGATATTTGAAGCCTTATTATCCAACCATGTGGAAAACACAAGGAATAGAATAAGTGCTAAATAAAAGAACATGAGAACACTCAAATGATAAATAAGAATTTTTATTTCATAAAGAGTTGAGTACATGTAGCCATAGATTGGCCCAGAAATCAGTACAATGTTTCAGTTGTTCTTTTACAATAGATGCTCAATTCTTAAGTGATGGGAACAACTAGATGGCTGTAGCCATCTCTTGCTTTCGATCAGCCAGTCATTGATTGGTAATTTGCAATTTGGTGACAGTTCGATCTAAGGCTTGGTTGATTGCTGATAGCTCCTCTTCAAGTTGAGTTTTCTTCTCTAATAGTTGAGCTCGAAATTAGGAGACAGAGGAATGTTGTTCCTTCAATTCTGACACTTCAGTATGTACTTTGGAAATAAAACTCTGGTCTCTCACCAATTTCTCCTCTGCAACCTTAGTAGCATGACAGATGTTGATGTGAAAATCAATGGTGGCTTCCGCCTGAGATAAATGACTTAAGACAGTCATGCCGGATTGCTCAACAATCTTGCAACACTAGGGGAAGCCATTTTTTATTATAAGCCTTTGTAAGGCTTCGAAAGGAATCCTCGAAAAAGATGTCAACAGCTCCAGACAGCTGTCCAAGTCTATCAAAAGGCAAGAAAGTCTTACCATTGGAGGAAGAGCTCTCAAAAATTTCTAGGAGAGAATCAATTAAAACTAATGGCTCAGTCTTATTGCTTGCCATTGGAGAGGTGGAAGGTATTTCAAAGAGACTAGCTAGCCTAGCTTCGAAGATGTCCACCTCATCCATGGACATGGAAGATGCAGAAAGAGCTCTGGTAGAAGGAAGTAGCGGGAAAATTTTTGGTGACGAAACTTAATTTTTCCTCACTTAAAATGAAGTATTTATTGACGAAAATAAATTTTGTCACCTATCATTTTCATTTTTTTATTATATGTGACAAAATTTATAAATTCCTCACGAATTATTTTTATTTAGTGACGAATCTGATTTTCTTCACTAGTTTTCGTCACCATAGGTTACTTTTGTTGTAGTGATTCCTCTAGAAAAGCAAAAGATTAATGACAGAAGTCCATAAAAAAAATATAATCACTAAGGTGGAAGACTCCAAAATTTGCTAATCCAAGAGTGTGTACAGAATGAGACATACTAATCAAAAAACACACACTCCAAAATGAGTAATGACCACAGAAAGCACATACATATTAACATGTAATGGATTTTCTCATCAATTCCAATATGTACCAAGGACCACTCAAAAATTTCAAGCTTGCAAAACCATACTAAGAAAATCTTTTTGGATTTTTTTTTATTTTTTTATTTTTTATTTTTTTTTTCGAAACAATTTGTCATCTCTCTCAATATAATCTTTTCCATCAATAAAGTTTTCTTCTTATTTTAGGTTCTTTAAGTGTCTAGTGGCTAGCATTTAGCTGCCTGCTCATAGGCTTCTGGTTCTATCAAATACATGTTTTTTATAAGTAAATATTTCTGGTTTGATTAAACATATCATAACTTTACATCGCTGTGAATCACTTGATTATTCTGAAGGTGAACCTTATTGTGAATTCTGTTATATATATATATATATATAATTTGCTGTGGCAATGTGATTCTGCACCTTATGCGCAAGTAGTCGCTTGTTTTCTACGAATTGGGGGGAATTAGTTGCTGCCTGATGGACTTGCTTTTTGATATCATTTTCTGCTAGGTCCTATGTGAAGTTATTAATAGTGTTTGAAATTGGAAGTAGTGGCAAACCTGGTTTGGTTTCCCCTAATGTGTGAGTATGCCAACATAGGTTCTTTGATAATAATAATAAGGTTTACTTACCGTTGTACGAAAAATTAATGTTGTGGTAAAAGATTGGCTCTATTAGATTTTGGAAAAAAGTGACTTTCTTGTATGGGGTTCAGAGGTTGACTGTTATTCCCGGAAGGTTTTTAATTTTTTGCAGAAAAGAAATTGGTGTTTGACATGAATTGATTCTCTCTTTACCTTCTCTCACAATGATGGCTTTGTTATCTTATGGAGAGCTTGTTTCTAGTGGACAGGATTTTTAGTGTCATGTTCATTGCCACCTCTATGAAATGGCCAGAATATAGGAATTCATTTGAGTTGCTGTAACATTTTTGAGTTGCTATTTCTATTAGACCTTGAACTGCATGTTGACTCTTAGAACTCTCTCTCTCCCCCTATCCATCTATTGCATGTTGACTCTTGGAACTATCCATCTACATATCTATTTATGATCAATCAACACGCAATTTCTTGTCATGATACTCTCTCTTTCTCTCTATCCATCTATATATATATATATGATCAATCGATATGCAGTTTCTTATCATGATACTCTCTGGACTCAGTTGAAGAGTAGCAATGCTGTTGTTAGAGGCAGTTTTGCAGGAAAACATGGCGTGTTTTGTTAACTATACATATAATGTTTCATCCATTCATGATAAGATTCACATGTTCTTTGCTGAAAAAATTGCTGAAGAATGGGATCATTTAATAACATTATTATTATTTTTTTGAAGTGCTATGTTTCTTGTTACTGGATTGGTGCTTAATTGTTTGTATTCTCTCTGAAGCTAAACTTTCTTCTTTTTTTACTAATATCTTATTTCTGTACTTACCAAAAAAAGAAGTATTTTATTTCTGCATTTGGTTAGCTCCACTTCTATGTAATTCTTGAACTTTAACTGCAAAATGGATTTGCTTGCATCTACATCAGACTCAAACACTGGAGCAAGAAGCATATCCAGCATTGGATGAGTTGACTTCTAAAATCAGCACACTTAACCTTGAGCGTGTTAGACAAATAAAGAGTCGTCTCGTTGCAATATCTGGTCGTGTACAGAAGGTAAATGTGAATAAGCTCTTTTGAGACTGCCATTGCACGCTGAGTTATATATAATGTGAACAAATGCTCCCTTTCAAAATAGTCATTTTCTTGTATGAGTTCTGATTATTTCTATCTAAATAACTCCTAGTTTCATGGACACCTATTGCCATAATTCATATTCATACGTTTTCACAAGAGCGTAGACTATATGAAGATATAATGTAGTCATACATCAACTATAATTTCGCTAGGATCTGACAAATGTTCAATTCCTTGAATGAAAATTTAACTTCTGAGTCATGTATGTTCCATAGAAATACTCAACTCCAATGGAAGTACAGGTACTTTAGCAACATTTTGGTAGAGTGATGCTTAATTTCCAATATGGCATTGCCTTGAAGAACTTCAAACTATTTACACTAATGGGTTCTTCACATCATCTCCTTAGTGAAGGATTACATGCTGGGAAACTTTACTCAAAATGCTTATAACATCAATCAGTTGTTTATAGAAATAAACTTAGACCATCATGGCTTTAGCAACTTGTTTCTTCATTTATTTACTTATTTTGTAGTAGTACCGGCAATGCCTTCTTGGCTCTGCCTACCCTTTCCCCTTTTCCTCATTTTCTTTGAGGTGGGCTTGCTCTCATCTAAGAGAAAAGGGAACCCTTTGGGACACACTTTGTCTTAGACAGAGCCTCTAGTAACTCTGTGCTTCAAAAGACTTGCAAAAGTAGTTGAGTCGTGTAAATTGTCGGCAATCCAATGCTTGTCACAACCCTTTGCCTTCATTAATCATGAATTCGTCTTTCTTGCATTGTTGGTGTCAATATCAATATTTTCCTTATGCCGAGATTGTTGCTGGCTTCCTGCTTAAACATTTGTTGATAGAAGAGTTAGATTCTCTTTTAGTGGTTAAGAGTGGTGATTAGACTCCCTAATGAGTAATTGATAACCAAGAACTTCCTAAGTGGACAATTCTCTTCTACTTGAGTCATGAGATACTACAATTCTTTACCAACGTTTAAACACCATTTTTTTGTTGTATGCATCTCTAAAAACAGTTAATTATGTCGTTTAGGACCCATCATGATAATAAATAAATAATTATTGAAATGTTCTTCACTTCCTTCTTTAAGGACAGGAATTATGGGCAGGAAGGTTGGTGTCTAATACAGAAACTTCAAAAAGATGATGTAAAACAAGTAGTGTGGCAATTTCAGATAAATGCAAAAAATTAGCAATTAGAGTTACGATGGCCCTATTGTCTTTACTCAACAAATTTTCATTTTTTGTAAAAAATCTGTTAGTATGTATCAAAGAATTAGATTGTTGAGGGGATTATGTGAAGCTCACTTATCTGTTTCATAACCAATATTTTGATATTTCATATTATTAAAGTTATGGATGTGATGTTCAAAATTGATATTATGTTGGATATCTTTGTCTCCACTCATGGACTTGTTGGCTATTTGCATTGTTCGTAATTTTCTTTTTTTCTCATTTTGTTTTTAGGTGAGAGATGAACTCGAGCATCTGTTAGATGATGACAATGACATGGCTGAAATGTATTTAACAGAGAAGTTTGCTGGTCACTCAATGGACCACACATCCTTAAAGGAGGAATTATATGATGAGGCACTTGAGGATGATGAAGACAGGTGATTACTGATGCAATAAATTTATCTTTCTTAGAATAATTATTAATTTTCACATTTAATGCATGATAGGGAGTGTACCGGAGTATGAATTATTTGAGGAAAAGGTTGATTGGTTGTATATGGGTGGATGGGCTTTAGAGGTAGTTACCATGTCTTATGGGTTGGACATGTGAAAAGGCATTCGAAATGGGTGAGATGTATTTTTTCAGGCACATTCAGTTTGTGGTAGGTTTTGGAGCCATGTGTAGTGTGGAGAGGAGGTTGGATGCAGTGTATCCTAATATTGCTAGTATTGGGGTAGTCGTTATTGAGTATCTCAAGGCAGACAGTAGTCATGTATTTTGGGAGATAGGTATCCCTAAGAGAGCTTAATGATTAGGAGATAGGGGAGTTGATGGACCTCTTTAGGCGTCTTTATGCCATTCATCGTGTTGGTGATGGATGGGATGCTCTCTGACGGTTGAAATCCAAGTCTGGAGGGTTTGAGGTAGAATCTTTTTATGAGATCTTGGCAGATCAGACGAGGATTATATTCCCTTGAAAAAGGGTGTGGGGGGCACAAAGACCCCTTCTAAGATCACCTTCTTTATGTGGTTTACAACTCATGTAAGGTTCTTACCATTGATAATTTGATTAGGAGAAAGCAAATGCATGTTGATCTGTTTGTATAAGCATGATGGGGAGTCTGTGAGGCATCTTCTATTCGTTGTGAGATGGTGTGGAAATTATGGTCTTAGCTTCTTCTCTTGTGGGTAATGCCTTGTTGATTACTTTGGTTTGTTGTCTTGAATAGTTCACAAAATAGAGTGATTATTTCATTTATTTATTTAATAAATAATAGTGTGACTAAGGCGGTGTATGATAACCTAGGTGCTGTTTGATACAACTGAAAACTAAAAATTGAAATCTGAAATTGAAAATTGACTGCTGAATTTTTTAATCTAAAAAGTTGTGTGGTGTGTACAAAAACTTTAATTTTTGAATTAAATCAAGTTGTTTAATATTTACAAGAAGAGATTTTTAAGTATTTTAGTTTTCAAATTCTTTTCTTTCACTTTATATTGTGGTGTTGAATTGGTAGTGACAATAGTGTTGGTGGTAGTGTGGTGGTGAGTGGTAGCGATTGTATTGTGGGGGGGGTGGTAGAGTAAGGGAGGCGGCGGCAGCGGCGATGGCGACGCGACTGGTGGTAGTGGAATGATGATCCAGATTTAACAGTAAGCTACATGTGACGCTGGCTATTGTGATAATCTTGAACATTTCATAAAATATAACTGACCTTGAACAAATCAGACTGTGGAATACAACCAAGTTTATCTAATAAAATTGACGTAGGATATGATAAATACAACTAGAATTACAATGTCATTTAACTTACAGTTATATCTCCATTTTGAAACGTTTTGCTGGTTGTGTATTTACTTATTCTTCATGGTACTTCATTTTCAGGGGTGAAGAAACTAAGTCTCAACACAGCTATGGAACTTATACTGGAATAAAGCCCAATATTGAGGAGCTGGAGATGCTTTTAGAAGCCTACTTTGCACAGATAGATGGCATCTCACAAAAACTATTCCATGTATGTTCCTCACCATATTCTTATTTAAGAATTAATATTTTCGTTGGCATTGCTGCTATTTTTTTTTTTTTTCAAAATTGTTTTTGCCAAGTATAGGTAAAATTGACAACATTGCTCACTTCAAAACTTGATGAAATTATCAGAATTGACCTTCGGAAATTGCAAATGTCATAAAAATTAAATAAGTTTGTTTATTGTAATGGTATTGGTAATCTAGTTCAATCAAACATAAAAAGGAGAAAAAAGAAAATGTTCAAACATTTATGTGGTTATAATCAGTAAGGAAAATTTCAAATTGAAACCAGTCATTTTATTAAGGGGAATACTGAAAAAAACCAGGGGTTAATTTAAGGATTTATCTAGGAATATAATGTTCATTAAGATCTTTCCAAGTATGTAGTATTACAGGTAAGAAAGGAGTTATAAATTTTGGCTTATTAAGCTTTCACAAAAACCAAACACATTTGCATTGCAAGACACTGCCTTTCAAGCAAGCTAGAGAAGAACCAAATCTCATAGACAGTGCTTCAATTTTTTTGGAAATTATGGTGTAAATCTATATGAATCAACCTTCAAAATTTGAAATTCAGAACTTAAAAAACTAGCACAAACAAAAGCCCAAATCTTTCATATAGAGACTCTCTTCTAAAACTCCCTCATTTCTTTTAAGGAAAGGAAAGCACAAATTTCTTCTTAGAAGCCCCTTACTTTATTGGTATCACTAAATGGGTTAAGAGTCAAGATGCAGCTCAAAAAGGTTTCCAGTAGCTCTACGATCCTGTAAAAAAGAATTTGTTCACGTGCTGCTTTGTTATATCCATATTTTTTTTGGTCAATCAGTAGGAGATTATTTTAAAAATATCATGGAATTACATCAAATTAGATATTCAATTATGAAAGAAAGTCTAACATATAGCTCAATCATACAACAAACCTACCAAACTCAAGAAAAACCCCAATCAAATACAAGGGTCACAAACCCAATGAGAGTCAAACTCTTGAACTCTTAGTGAGATGTACGGATTATTAGCCAATGGGCTAGCTCCGTTCTTTCTTTTTTTTGTTGAGACAATTACAAAAAAAAAAAAATTTACAGGGTTTGAACCTTGTAACAAAATAATTTTTGAGTTTTTAATTTTGTCAATTTAAATTCTCAATTTTTTACTTGTTTTCAATCCAAATCATTTGTCTATTTCTATTAAGTAAAACTGACGAAAATAGACAAATGGTTTAAATTGAAAACAAATCAACAGCTTAGGATTTAAATTGACAAAATTAAAAAGTCATTGTTTATTTTGTTACAACATACAAGACTCAAACTGTGGGATTTTTTTTTTTTTTTTTTGTATTGGCCCTTTTTTTTTTAAACAAAAGTTAAATACATGCAAGTAGAAAGCTAAACTAAATAGTCGAATGTCCATTATGATAGAGTGGCTAATCTCTGATTTATCAAATGCTAGATAGTTCTAACTTTCAATTCCCTCCATCTTATCGAGTGAATTTACTCTTCTCTCTTTTCGTGTCTTCCTATTTGGAATTTTCTTTCTACCTCTTCTACTTACACGAAAACATTTGACTTGTTATTGTGCTAAGATAAGTGAGTATGCCAACGACACGGAGGACTTCATTAACATCATGTTGGATGAAAAGCAAAATCAGCTGCTACAAATGGGAGTGATGCTGAGTACGGCAAATATGATAATGAATGCAGGTATCGCGGTTGTAGGGTTGTTTGGGATGAACATTGAGATCTCTCTCTTTTCTAGTCCAACCATAAACTTCTGGGAAACTGCTATTGGTACCGTAGGAGGTTGTGTGGCTTTGTATTTGATTGCTGTAGGGTGGGGTAAGAAAAAGACCCTCATATAGAGAAGGAAAAAAAAAAAAAGGCTTGTTGTGGGTGTTTAATTTTATCTCATATGATTAGTATGTCAGGAATTGAAACACTTGTAACTGAATTTTTAATGATTGAAAAGATTCTTGCTACGGACATGATAAGAATTAACAGTTTGTGTTACCTGCTGAAAATACATCTATTTGATATGTATATATTCAAAAGTCGAGTTTCTTTTGCTCTTCAAGGTAAGTTCTGAAAAGTATAGTTTGAGGTGTCGTTCTCTGAGCAGTAACTGATTGAGTAATAAAGATGCTCATGATTTGTGTTGTTTATTTATTTACATTATCCTAAATCTAAGGGTTAATTACTAACCAGTCCCATTAAATGAAATTAATTAACTCCTCAACTGTCTATATTACCCTCGTTAAATATCTTATCTTCTCTTAAGTTCTCTCTCTAATATTTTTGCGGAGAATTTCTTTCTCTCTCTCTCCCTCTCTACCATTTCTGAAGCCTCATACCACTACCACACATTGCCACTGCTGCCACCGTCTACTACTGCCGTCGCCACTGTCCATTACCATTGCCATCACCGTTGTTCACCAACCATCTCCACTGTCATCACTCACTATCATTCACACATATACAAAATAGTTCTCATCAGTAATAAATTTATCACTGAAAATAATTATTGGTAAGGCCTTTTCTTTCCCACTTCATCCATCTCTTTACTCTTCATACCCCTGTTCATTTTCTTTTGTCACTACCAGATATGAGGAAGTGGTGGTAATAGTGACATGGTGAAGATGGACACTGAGTTTTTTCAAAAATGGCTAGAAAAGTATTGTCAAAAACTATCACCGGAGGTCAAGACAGCAGCCGGATATGATCGCCGAAGGTGGTTGCCAGAAGTTACCAGCCGGAAGTGGTTGCTGGAGGTCGTTGGTGGCCGACGGTGATTGCCAGATGTGTTGCTACTGATGATGGAGTAATGAAATGATAATGAAGGGTATTATAGGGCTGTTGCTAGGTAAAATGAAAAGGAAATTTTCTATGGAGGTGATGACGAATGGGTTTTGACAAAGATATTCCCCCTTGTGTCTCTATTATGAAATTTCATATTTTTTTGGTACCAAGAAGCAAGAATTGGATCACATTCTCAAAAAAGAAGCAAGAATTGGATCCCAATGATAGCGAGTTACAAAACACATGCAAATAATGAGGGAATAGTGGAGGTATGATGGCTACCAACACCAAGGAACTGACCTTTAAACTCCCTTGACACTTCCTGGTAATAGACTATTTAGTTAATTTTTTGCTTTTTTTTTTTTTTTTTTTTTTTTTTTTTTTTAACCCAAACAATGAGCACCGTGAGAGCTATCTGGCTGGAGATGGCCGGATAACCCCTCCGGCGTGGGAGTAAGTAATCGAAGAAGATGGAATATGCTCTCTAGGTGTAGAGAATTGTGTTTAAGTGAGTATAGTTCAGCTCAACTTGGTTACTTCCAATGTGAAGTGAGTGGAGTCTATATATATAATCCCTTACTTGTTGCCCAAGATAGTTCCATGAAATTTTGGTGTTGCCGAGCTCCCCCTAACATTGCTCAACGTAATGGACCACTAGATAGTTGACAATGGATCCATATACTCATTGTAACCATCCTTATAATAAATCACATTCCCGTGCTCAACTACCTCTGTGATTCAAGGGAGAGGGGACCAACTGAGGTGGCAGTCTGCACATGCAAGTATTCATAGCTTCCACGTTTCCCTGAGAGGTTCCCTCAGCTCGGTGCTATTGTGCCCCGGCTCAGCCTTTCACTAGGTTGTTTTATAGAGATGGGCTGGCCCAATTAAATATCTTTGTGTGGGCTCGGCCCACTTTGGTTTCTAATGATGGGTTCGGCCCATTAGTTCGGTCTGCGAATTAAGTTCGACAGCTCGGCCCAGCCTAGTATTGCGACTGGACTAGCCTTTCCACTACGAGTTGGGCCCAAGTACTTGAAGACTTGGGTAGACTATTGATCATGGAGTTGGACTTGATTAGCTTGCCCACACATTCACCTGACCCACTTGGACCTAGGTTTAATGGATTAGGCCGGCTCAAGACTTGGATCCAACCCATTTATATTTTACCCCTTCATTTTCCCCCTAGCTCGCGCTAAGGCTCCACTTGGGGAGAGCTACAACCCAATACCCCAAACGTTGGATTTGCTCTAGTTCGGCCTTAGTGGTGGTTCGATCCTGACACATGCACTCTGCATGTGTCCTTTCATAGTGACACGTGGCAGCGCTATACTGGTGTGCAGAGATAGTGCGCCGATTCAATATAGAAGGGCATGATTTTGTACCTTCGTGCCAGTTGAGAGTAATAAATGCCCTAGAGGTGTCAATTCAAACGCCTTCATCTATCTTCAAACTTCAGAAAATCCCAAAACCCCTATCTTGGTTCTGATGGTGCTTTGCCCAAACGCTTATTATCATTGCTGAGGGTTACGAACTCTATTATTCTCGTTCCTGTTCAGAGGATCTTCACACTTTGTCGCTTATTCATTGAATCACTGTAAGTTCTTCCCGAAGCTCCTCTTTTATATTGTTTTTCTATCTATTTCACCATCGTTGGCCCTTGCGCCATTGTTTCCGGTGGCTGGTAGTATTTCTGTGTTTCTTGCTTAGTTATAGTTTTGCTTTTGCCCTTCTAGGTCTAGGTAATGGGAAAATTCCGTTCTTTAGTAAATACTCCTGAGGCAATTGCCTTGTTCCGCCGTGACTACGGTATCCTTGACAATGTTACCCTTTCGCTGGTGAAAGCCAACACCAAGCGCATGGGTACCAGAAACACTGTTGTTGTAACGACCCTATCACGTATAATAATTAGTACTTAATTAATTAAAGAGATTTGAATTTTAATTTGCCATTATTCTGATTTAATTAGGGATTTATGAAAGTTATGGAGACTGATTTGTGTATGACTCTATTGGGGATTTATTTTGGAATTAGAAATTGAAAGCCTAAATGGCTCAAGAGAGTATAATTGGTTAATTGAATTATTTTAATTTCGAATATCGGACCATATGGGAGTTTAATTAAATATTCGATTCAGATTAGTAAAATTGAGATTTTATTAAGTGGGTCCGAATTGGAATTGATTAAGTTATGAGAATTGAGATTTAAGATTATTATGAATTAAATTTATTTATGAGGTATTCAATTGAATATACAATTTTTTTTGACGAAGATTTTGAAGTTTAATATGAAATTGAAAGCCTTAATAATGTAAAAAACCAAAATTGAGATTGGAAATAAGTTTAATTTAATATTTTGAGCCTTTGGAGAGTTTGATTAAAAATCTGATTCAGAATGATAAAATTAAATATAATTAATTGGGTTCTAAAGGAAGTCAAATTAGACTAATTAAATTATGTGAAATTCATGATTAGTTATGATTAATTAAATTATATCCTAATCAAGATTAATTAAGATTGCGGGTTATTTAATGAAGCTAACATGTACTCAGTGATTAACTAATCCTATGTAGAATGAGTTAGAATTGTATACGTGTGTATGTAATTTATTGAATGAGAGCCTTGCATATGTGTGTACACATGTGTCTTGTTGAAGGCAAAGAGGTGGGTTTATTTTCTTTAAGTTGGTTGGAGCTCTATGCTTTGGGTATTCATTTGTTTTGCTGAGAAAGGAACTTGGAGAGAGAGAGAGAGAAAAGAGCTCAACTTTTAAAGAAGGAAACCCAAAATTGTGTTGGAAATTGTAAAAGAAGAAGAAGGCTCAAGGGGAAATCATCAATAATCTTTGAAATTAGAGCTTGAGGTATGGAAATTATACTTAATTTTTGTAGAATCTTCATATCACACTTGAAATTAAGAAAGTTATGAATCAATCTCATGGATTTTGTAAGAAATTGAGCTTGGTTCATGATCATGGATAATAAATTTAGAAATTAATAATTTTGAGTGTGATTTTGTAGTCATGCATGAGATTAATTTTCATTGTTACATGCATGAGCAAATCTATAAGTTTTAATACTCTCATATTGGATTTTGAAGAATTTGAGATAATCAACTCATGTTTTGAAGAGAATGAGGGAAAGTTTTGTAAACATTAAAATCCATGGAAATCTAGAATTAATCTTGAAGATAAATGAGGTTTTGATTTTAAATCCATAACCCATGCATGTAATGTAATTTAAGAGTTGGACTCAAATTAAACATATTTTGGAACATCTATGATTTAAGGAAATAAGTTTGGAAAGTAGTTAATTTCAATTTGAATTTGGATTTGATATGAGAAAAATTAATAAAAATCTAAATTAGAACAATTCAAGATTTTAATTATGGATTGAGCTTGACTATGTAGAATTGGTTGGATTTTGATAAATGTTTCATGCATGCAAATGATTTTCTAAGAAGTTTATGACTTTAATTTCATGTTTTGAAGGAAAATAAAAAAAGCTCGAAGTCAATTTTATATAATTAAAAAGAAAATGAGAAATTGGAGTTATGTTCAATTTATGGAAATTAACTTAGAAATTAATCACTTTGGGTTTGAATTTAGTTGTCTTAACATGAAATTGAGTTTCAATTGTACATGCATTATGAATTTTTTAAGAGTTTTGAAAGTTTAATTCATGTTTTAAAATTTGTGGGTTTGAAATTGGGTTTGATATGGAGAAAATAAATTAAATCTAAATTTGGACAAATTTGGAAATAAATTATAATTTATATTTGAAAATCAAAAATTAGGTTGATTTTGATTTAAATTTCTTACATATAAATATTTTGAAAGGGCTTTATAGCTTTAATTTATGTTTTATAAAACAAAGAAGAAGAATGTTGGAATTATTATATTCATAAAATTATTGGTTTTAATCTTAATGATCAAAGAGATTTTTGTATTAGAAATTAGAAAATTAGTCATGGGTTCATCTTTATTAATACAATTACATGTTTAAATTGGTTCATACAAAAGTTTAAGTTTTGAAAATGTATTTGGAAATTATTTGTTGATTTTGAAA